CGGCGAACCGGGCGAACCGCCATAGACTTCAATAGGCAGGAGAATTTTTAAACCCACAGGGACTCTTTCTGCCCACAATAGTGATGGAAAAGTTGTTTCAAGGGGACTAACACCTGGACTGTGGCATGCCGGAGGGGGATCCATGGCAAAACCTCCCATGGAAAATTACATAGTTGATGCAGAGTCTGGTTTTAATCCATAAAGGGCATAAATCACCTAACATTCCTAAATTGTTTGGAATAACGTGCTTTAAAACATCAGGTATGATGTTGTATCGATCAGGTAGTGTAAGGGTTACGCCCACTTCACAGTGACAGACCAAACTCCCCGTTTAACGCACCGCAAACAACCGCAAACAGTCCATTTGCACAACCGCAAACTCCCCATTTGCACAAGGTTGGATACCAAGCTAGCCATGTCCCGTTCCTTGTCCTCACTGATGTCATTGAAGGTCTCTTCCTCCACCCAGCCACGTACAACACCAAGGGTCCCCAAAAGGTGACAACAAGCCCCCTGGGACGCCTGCTGTGTTTGGTCTTCCACCTCCTCAAAGCCACCTTCCTCCTCTGACTCCTCTTCTTCAGACTCCTCTCTCTGCGTTATTATAAGGTGTTTTAAGTAGTACTATTCCTATCAGTTTAATCCCTGTTACGTCCCCTATCAGGGGACGTGTATATGGCATCGATTTTAGGAACCGGGAGATGGAAAAAGATGCTTGGTCGGTCCTCCTTCTTCAAATTTGGGGCAAATAATGTGCCACCAGATAGGAGTGGTGTGTTAAGTAGTACTATTCTTATCAGTTTAATCCCAATGTCACGACTACTAGTGTGGTCCAGCACGCAGAAACTATGTAAACATATACATAGGCAAGAAAAGGAAAATAAAAGGACAGAGCGTAAACCGGACCTTAGACCTTGGCCGGACTAATACGCTAGAGACTGGTCAAAGGGAAAGCCGAGGTCAAGGAAACCAGAATTCAGAATAACCAGGGAAAAAACAAGATCAGGATACCAGGAAATCAGATTCACAATGATAAAGCACTCTCAGGAAACCAGGAACAGGAAACCACGACAGGGCAAGGTACTGGGGTGAGCTAGGGATTTAAATATCACGTGGCGGGCCGGCAGCCGCGACACCCTGTTACGTCCCCCTCATCAGGCCTTTTTTAGTCGAATGTATCGCCCACTGTCAGTCCCTTCGGGATCCATCCCTCATTCATCTTAATAAAGGTGAGGTAATCTAGACTTTTTTGACCTAGGCGACTTCTCTTCTCAGTGACAATACCTCCTGCTGCACTGAAGGTCCTTTCTGACAGGACACTTGAAGCGGGGCAGGCCAGAAGTTCTGTCGAAAATTGGGATAGCTCAGGCCATAGGTCAAGCCTGCACACCCAGTAGTCAAGGGGTTCATCGCTCCTCAGAGTGTCGATATCTGCAATTAAGGCGAGGTAGTCTGCTACCTGTCGGTCGAGTCTTTCTCTGAGGGTGGACCCCGAAGGGCTGTGGCGGTGCGTAGGACTTAAAAAGCTCCGCATGTCCTCCATCAACAACACGTCTGTAAAGCGTCCTGTCCTTGCCGGCGTGGTCGTGGGAGGAGGAGGATTACTTTCACCTCTTCCCCTGTTAGATTTCCGTTGTGCTGTGACATCACCCTTATACGCTGTGTAAAGCATACTTTTTAATTGATTTTGGAACTGCTGCATCCTTTCCGACTTGCCGTAATTCGGTAACATTTCAGGCATTTTCTGCTTATACCGGGGGTCTAGTAGCGTGGACACCCAGTACAGGTTGTTCTCCTTCAGCCTTTTTATATGAGGGTCCCTCAACAGGCACGACAGCATGAAAGACCCCATTTGCACAAGGTTGGATGCCGAGCTACTCATGTCCTGTTCCTCGTCCTCAGTGATCTCACTGAAGGTATGTTCTTCCCCCCCAGCCACGTACAACACCACGGGTACCAGATAGGTGACAACGAGCACCCTGGGATGCCTGTTGTGGTTGGTCTTCCTCCTCCTCCTCAAAGCCACATTCCTCCTCTAACTCCTCTTCCTCACAATCCTCTTCCAGCGTTGCCGCAGGTCCAGCAAGCGATGCTGATAAGGCTGTTTCTGGTGGTGATGGTGACCACAACTCTTCCTCTTCACGCTCATCTACGGCCTGATCCAGCTCTCTTCGCAGGGCACGCTCCAGGAAGAAAACAAATGGTATGATGTCGCTGATGGTGCCTTCGGTGCGACTGACTAGGTTTGCCACCTCCTCAAAAGGACGCATGAGCCTACAGGCATTGCGCATGAGCGTCCAGTAACGTGGCAAAAAAATTCCCAGCTCCGCAGAGACTGTCCTTGCACCCCAGTCATACAAATACTTGTTAACGGCTTTTTCTTGTTGGAGCAGGCGGTCGAACATTAGGAGTGTTGAATTCCAACGTGTCGGGCTGTCACAAATCAATCAATGTCTGGTTGACCCCGGGTGCCGATGCATGCTGTCTGACTGTGCCACTAGCTCCTTGCGACGACCTCCCCCTGCTTCCAACTCGTCTCCTCCTCCTCCTCTCTGTCTCCCCATCTGAACTTTCACCCTGTTCCTCTTCTCTTCTAGCGGGCACCCACGTGACATCCACAGATGCATCATCATCATCAACTACTTCACTTGTATCTGACAGCTCAGCAAAGGAAGCAGCAGCGGGTACAACATCATCATCGTCACACTGTACGTCCATGTGTGTAATGCTGCCTGACTGAGACATATCCCTGTTATCTACATCCTCTGGCAATAATGGTTGCGCATCACTCATTTCTTCCAACTGATGTGTAAATAACTCCTCTGACATACCAAGTGAAGCTGCTGTGGTGCTAGTGTTGGTGGTGGCGGCAGGCGGGCGAGTGGTAACTTGAGAGGTGCCCGAAGCTAAGCTGGAGGAGGATGGTGCGTCAAGGATCCGAGCGGAAGCTGTAGAAGATTGGGTGTCCTGTGTTAGCCAGTCAACTATGTCCTCAGAACTTTTCGAGTTCAGGGTATGTGGCCTCTGAGCACTGGGCATTATTCTACGGCCAAAGGGAATCACAGCACCACAACCACGACGGCCCCTGCCTGTCATTTATTTTTCGATTAGTGGTACTATGCGTGCAAGCTACTGTGACAACAGATATGAGTGGCACTGTGCAGTGGCAGAAGTTTGAAGAGTAGACGCTGTAGGCCTGACACACACGCTTGCAGAAAACTAACTGCTATTCAATCTATTACAGTCGAAATTGTATTTATTTTTTTTAAATGTACACTACTGTTACACCAGATATGAGTTGCACTGGTGTGACACTGTGCCCTGGCAGGCCCTGAAACGCACACGCGTGAAGGAAACTGACTACTATTATATTACAGTCCAAAAAGTTTTGTTTTTTTTAAATGCAAGCTATTGTGACACCAGTGAGTGAGTGGTGGCACTGGGCAAGTGGGCACAGTATATGCTGTGAGCCTGACACACAGGCTGGCAGGCAGGCAACTGCAATTACATTACACAGAAAAAAAAAGCAGACTGATGTTCTAGCCCTAAAAAGGGCTTTTTGGGGTGCTGTCCTTACAGCAGAGATCAGATGAGTCCTTCAGGACTGTAGTGGACACTGAATACACTAGCCTAGCTATCAATTTCCCTATCAAATCAGCAGCAGCTACACTGTCCCTCCTCTCACTAAGAATGCAGCTTCACAATGAATGTAAAATGGATGCTGTCCAGGGGTGGAAGGGTCTGGGAGGGAGGGTCTGCTGCTGATTGGCTGGAATGTGTCTGCTGACTGTGAGGTACAGGGTCAAAGTTTACTCAATGATGACGAATAGGGGGCGGACCGAACAGCGCATATGTTCGCAGTCCGTGGTGAACGTGAACAAGCGATGTTCGCCGGGAACTATTCGCCGGCGAACCGTTCGGGACATCACTATATCTCATATATGTTTAGTATGTTCTAACAGGATTTATGGCATCACAAATGATTATCAGATCATGGGTGCTTTAAATGACAGGTCTGCATATTATTCTATATTCTAAAGACTGTTATTGGATTACAGCATCAGGTGGTGAAGTTGGACATCCTTAAGGTGGTTGTTGTTACCCACATACATTCATTTAGAGATTTATGGTGTTAAACAGGGCATGACCAGGGGCGTATTAGCCGCGAGGCAAACAAAGCATTTGCCTTGGTCGGCATTTTTCAGGGAGCGGCAAAAAACGCAGCGCCCAAATGCCCAGGGCAAATGCCTAGTTACTCTTCGGCTAACTGACATGCCGGGCGGCGCTGGCTGGTGGTCGGGCGGGCGGCTGGCTGACGAGGGAGCTCTTCCTCTGAGCGGTCTGCTCAGCTCCCTCGCGCGCCGCAGAGTGAGGCTGGGAGCCAGAATATGACGTCATCAACCCGGTCCCAGCCTCACTCTGCGGCGCGCGAGGGAGCTGAGCAGTCAGCTCAGAGGAAGAGCTCCCTCGCCAACCGCCCGCCCGACAATCAGCCAGCCCATCAGCCAGCCCATCAGCCCGACCTGCAGCTACTAGACCACTAGGAAGAAAGAGGAACCCCCTGTCACGGCAAGGGTGTATAATTTATTATGACACTATGGAATATCATCTTTTAATGTGATTTCTTGTAGTAAATGGCACAAATTGCAGAGATGCTATTGCTGAGGTCAACAGGGGTTACATCTTTTGAAGCTGGGACCCCCACAGAGGGCAGATGACAGAAGGGGTAGTGTGAATGGCATAGGAATGTGAAAAGGATTTTACTGTATGGATGTGAAGTCTGCAAGGTGTGAGGTTCTACACTTGGAAAAAGTCTGAATGTCTCTTCATCCATTTGGCCTGTACCTTGTAAGTGATGAGTAAATCTCTTTGATATGTAAATGCCATTAGCTTTGTTCTAGTATCATATCCAAAGGAAGGACAAAAACATTCATATTTACCCCCACAGAATAATAATTAAGCCTCATTTTTGTTATATTTGGAATGTGACAAGCGCCATCTTCTAACCAAGTCCAAACATGAGTGGCCTAACTTGACCCTAGGGAAAGGAATTGTGATGTCCGTCCTATTGGATCGTGGGTGGGACGTGCAACATGTCTATGGAATGGGAAAATAATAACAAATTTGTAGATGCAATTATTATTTCTGTGGCAGGTACAAAAAAAGAAGATAGAGTCAAATGTTTCCATTTGGATTGACAGTGGTCTGGAACAAAGGAGGTGGTCAGTTATTATTTCTGTAGGTACGCCTTAACTCCACCCCTGGGCAAGACTTGATAAACCACAGGGTATATATCTAATGATCCTGAAGGGTGTTGGTGTACTTGCTTGGGGCCAAGATCTAATTTTGGGTGAGTCACCATCTTTCCTTGCCAGAGACCCCCTGGACAGAAGTTGTACTTTGAAAACCTAAGTGAGTAATTAGGACTTCTGTATTTTATACTTTTTGTTATTATCTGTTGTTGGTGTAAATAATTTGTTTATCATATATTTTTATATGCACTGTGACTATCTTTTGCTCATAATAAACATTCATTTATTAAGTTTTGCCTTTGTCTGGTTAAGAATCACGTTACCTGAAGAGACTAGTTAGTATTTTTATAATTCCTTAAATATTGTACTAAGTAATATTTGGTGGGTTTTATTATTGATTTACCTGGGGGACCAAGGCACCCCATTTATAAATTGTCTTGGTGGTGGCAGCGTTAAAGTAGTAATAGTTATATTATTATGTTTAAGTGTGGGTGGTGTTAAAGGGGGATTTTGTCATTATTTCCAGTCTAGTGCAGACAAATAGTGTACTTTAACCCTTTCACCACCACAACTACGTCACGCACACTCTTGGAGTAGGGTGCGTTCGTGACACCCCCCTCCCCCCCAGCACTCCCAAAGGTAAGGAGGCTGGGGGGGGGGGTTAAATTAAAAAAAAAAAGTGTTAATGTGAGTGATTGTGTGTGTGTGTTTGTGTCTGACTGTGTTTGTGTGTGTGTGTCTGACTGTGTGTGTGTGTGTGTGTGCTTGTGTCTGACTGTGTGTTTGTGTCTGACTGTGTGTGTGTCTGACTGTGTGTATTTGTCTGACTGTGTGTGTGTGTGTGACTGTGTGTGTGTGTTTGTGTGTGACTGTGTGTGTGTTTGTGTCTGACTGTGTGTGTGTTTGTGTGTGTGTGTCTGACTGTGTGTGTGTGTGTTTGTGTCTGACTGTGTGTGTGTGTTTGTGTCTGACTGTGTGTGTGTGTGTGTGTCTGACTGTGTGTGTGTGTGTGTTTGTGTCTGACTGTGTGTGTCTGACTGTTTGTGTGTGTGTGTATTTAGAAGGTGGGAGGGGGGAGGGGGATGCCTGAGTTTTGCCCTGCCAAGGGCAGCACAAAACCAGGATACACCACTTGGCATGACATATCATAAGATGCTGAGTTGAGTACATGGGGTTAAATAGACACATTTCAACAAATAAGGCAGCTTAAACTTTTTCAGCCACCAATGGAAATATCAGTATTTCAGATGTTTGATGTGAAATTTCACAAATGGAGCAAACGGGTATACTACAGTCATGTAAACAACAAGCCATAAACTGTATATAAATAAGTAGTTATGCAGTGCAACTCAGTTATGTAGCCTTGTTCTTGTGCAAACCATAATGAATTATGGCTAGTATCTGAGATGGGTGGTGTCTGTCTTAGTGGAAAGCCTCAGGCATATTTTTTTTTGTGGTATTAGTAAGGGCCTCTTTGAAAATATGACTTTTTCATATAAACTCTGGAAATAAAATATATGCTTTTGTGTTTTGCCTCCCAGCGACTGAAATTAAATCACAGTCTGAGCAGTGTTGTGGAATAAGCAAAAAAAAAAATATATTTTTCCCTGGTTGCCTGTCAAATTAGTTATCTGATAAAAAAGAAAACAGTGATATAAATGTGATTTACTTCCTTTCCCTCCAGTCATAAACATTTATGTCTGAAGTGTAACAAGGAGTTTAAAATCTAGCTATGTCTTACTGATATACGATTCATTCTGGGGAAAAAAAGTCCACTTTTTATTTTTACTATTTCCTCTGTAGAAAGGTTACCAGACAAAATTAGCTTTCTAAAACAGTGGGGGAGTAGTTTAAATTAACTTATCATTGCAACGGACCGTGTTGCACAAAAGGGGTAAAAACCGTTTAGGCGATCGGCCCCCTTTCAGGAGATGCAGGCACAGCTACTGCAGAACACCAAACACACGAACCGCCAATAAGTGAATGCTCCAAACTCCCGAACGGCATCCAATATAGCACTCCAAATACACGAACAGGAACCATACGAATTGCTGCTACCAGACGAATAGGAAAAGCATCCAAGCGGCTTACACGCCTAGCAATCAGTCTCTATCAGCATTCAGTAAATCCCGCCAAAGACGAGACAAGGCTCCGTGTTGAGGGTCAAGCAGTGGTCTGTTTAATGGGGGCTACCTGCTCAGTATTTATGCAGGTCTCCCACTTGGTGGACACTCCACTAGGGGACCAAATGGGAGACTGTGACAAAGGACAGACAAGTAGACAAATAGGACACACAGTCACAATATATTCCCACAATGCATCCTGGCTTCCTCCCCTCTGCCCTGGGAGATAATTGAGAAGTAATTCAATTATCTCCCAAGACAAAGGCAAATCGCCATTATGCACGTGGGGTACTAAAACATGAATTACTATTAAAATACACCATGTAAGACACATTACATTAAAACTATACATTTAACATATCCCCAGATAGCTCAGGTCTGAGCGCACATTATTAAGCGAATGGCGCTCAGACCACACGAATACAGTTTAATCGCCATGGAGCCAAAGTCTTTACAGTCAGTTTCATACGAATGGGCTCCATGGGATTCCTATCTGGGGTATAACACATTCAAACAAAACTACCGAACACCGGGCCGTTCGTGCACTTCCACCGAACAAGAAGGGAGGTCGGCGGCTTCAGCGGTGTTCGCGCAAAACTGTGTCCGATTTTAGTTCCATGAAAATAGGGGCGAACACCGCTGTGCATTCGTATGTTTAAAATGGCGCGACCTCGTGTTCGGGATACGAATGGCGGCCACCCAGCATTCGTCAATTAAGCTGCGGTTAACCGCAGCTTCAGGGAGGTTAATTGCCGGCACACTCCAGCTCCCAGGTGGTCTATTCATTCGTGCGGTTGTTCGGTAGATTGAATCTACCGAACAACCGGCAGAAAAGCACGAATACAGCTTTTCTGCAGGCGAAATAAAGTCTTTTAACAGGGGGGCCATAGTCCAGAGGCAGCAGGCGAGCAACCAGGCTTCTCCAATGCAATGTGGCGAGATTGGTCTCGTCACATCTCTCCCCTTTTCCAAACAGACTAACAGGGTATCTGACCTCCTGCCGGTCAGTACCCTTGTTAGTCCAGCAGTCCACCCACAAAACATAATCAACAGCACAGCCCACCCACAATAAATGGTTACTACACCTGGGTAGAGGAGAAGCTTGTCCATGTCCAGGTGCCTCACCATGGCTGTGCTGGGTACGGGTACGCTGACTTGGTGGGGTGCTGAGTGGGCAGAGACCAGGCACAGCTACTGCAGAACACCAAACACACGAACCGCCAATATGTGAATGCTCCAAACTCCCAAACGGCATCCAATATAGCACTCCAAATACACGAACAGGAACCATACGAATTGCTGCTACCAGACGAATAGGAAAAGCATCCAAGCGGCTTACACTCCTAGCAATCAGTCTCTATCAGCATTCAGTAAATCCCCCCAAAGACGAGACAAGGCTCCGTGTTGAGGGTCAAGCAGTGGTCTGTTTAATGGGGGCTACCTGCCCAGTATTTATGCAGGTCTCCCACCTGGTGGACACTCCCCTAGGGGACCAAATGGGAGACTGTGACAAAGGACAGACAAGTAGACAAATAGGACACACAGTCACAATATATTCCCACAATGCATCCTGGCTTCCTCCCCTCTGGGGAGGTAATTGAGAAGTAATTCAATTATCTCCCAAGACAAAGGCAAATCGCCATTATGCACGTGGGGGTACTAAAACATGAATTACTATTAAAATACACCATGTAAAACACATTACATTAAAACTATACATTTAACATATCCCCAGATAGCTCAGGTCTGAGCGCACATTATTAAGCGAATGGCGCTCAGACCACACGAATACAGTTTAATCGCCATGGAGCCAAAGTCTTTACAGTCAGTTTCATACGAATGGGCTCCATGGGATTCCTATCTGGGGTATAACACATTCAAACAAAACTACCGAACACCGGGCCGTTCGTGCACTTCCACCAAACAAGAAGGGAGGTCGGCGGCTTCAGCGGTGTTCGCGCAAAACTGTGTCCGATTTTAGTTCCATGAAAATAGGGGCGAACACCGCTGTGCATTCGTATGTTTAAAATGGCCGCGACCTCGTGTTCGGGATACGAATGGCGGCCACCCAGCATTCGTCAATTAAGCTGCGGTTAACCGCAGCTTCAGGGAGGTTAATTGCCGGCACACTCCAGCTCCCAGGTGGTCGATTAATTCGTGCGGTTGTTCAGTAGATTGAATCTACCGAACAACCGGCAGAAAAGCACGAATACAGCTTTTCTGCAGGCGAAATAAAGTCTTTTAACAGGGGGCCATAGTCCAGAGGCAGCAGGCGAGCAACCAGGCTTCTCCAATGCAATGTGGCGAGATTAGTCTCGTCACAATCATTAATTAGGAAAGCTGATATTCCTTAGTTTGGAAACACACACACACATTATCCCCATGAACGAAGATATTAGATTGTTATGACATACTGTCGGTATGGTAAAAAGAGATATGTTGCTCATCTACAGTACGTGTATTTACTACTATTTTCAATGCATTATTTAGCTAATACACACACAAAATAATAATTAAAGGAACACTATAGTCACCTAAATTACTTTAGCTAAATAAAGCAGTTTTAGTGTATAGATCATTCCCCTGCAATTTCACTGCTCAATTCACTGTCATTTAGGAGTTAAATCACTTTGTAGCTGTTTATGCAGCCCTAGCCACACCTCCCTTGGCTATAATTGACAGAGCCTGCATGAAAACAAAAACTGGTTTCACTTTCAAACAGATGTAATTTACCTTAAATAATTGTATCTCAAACTCTAAATTGAACTTTAACCCCTTAAGGGCCAAACTTCTGGAATAAAAGGGAATCATGACATGTCACACATGTCATGTGTCCTTAAGGGGTTAATCACATACAGGAGGCTCTTGCAGGGTCTAGCAAGCTATTAACATAGCTGGGGATAATAAAATCTTAATTAAACAGAACTTGTAATAAAGAAAGCCTAAATAGGGCTCTCTTTACAGGAAGTGTTTATGGAAGGCTGTGCAAGTCACATGCAGGGAGGTG